TAGTAGGTTAATTGACTCCTATGCCATTGGGTGTTTGTGCGCATCGGCCTTTTACAATTATTACAAACAGAACCAAGGGGAGGGTATGTATCTGGTCTTCGTCTCTGCAAAAGGGGAGGCTGTTAAAACACCCCCAGAGATAGAGAGTGTCATCGCTAAGTATCCTGATTTGTTTGAGGAGCCCAAATGTGTCATAGACAGGGAGGTTGTCCATGCCATTGACATCATCCCTGGGAGCAAGATACCCAATGGGAGAATCTATAGGATGGCTCCGACCGAGTTGGACGAGCTCCGTCGACAACTGGAAGAGCTTATAGAAACGGGTTGGATACGGCCTAGCATCTCCCCCTTTGGCTCACCAGTCTTATTCGTACCGAAGGAGGGGGGATCACTAAGGATGTGCATTGATTATAGGGGCCTCGATGCCATCACTGTGAAGAACACAGAGCACCTACCATCGATGGCCTATTGGATTGGGTGCAGGGATGTAAGTACTTCATATCGAATCACAAAGATAAATTTAAAATCTGACTATCATCATATTGCGATTAGATCGGAAGATCAACACAAAATTGCATTTCAGACCAGGTACGGTCTGTACGAGTTTGTGGTGGTGCCTTTCGGTCTTTGCAACGTGTCGGGTACATTCTAGCATACCATGAATATGATCTTTCATGACTACTTGGATAGTTTTATCGTCGTGTACCTCGACGACATTCTTATCTTCAGTAGGACTATTGAGGAGCATGCCCAACATGTAGACAAAGTTCTCTCTCTCCTCCGACAACACAAGCATAAGATAAACTTAGAGAAATGCGAGTTCAATCGCGCTAAAATCTTGTACTTGGGTCATGAGGTATCCGCGGAAGGGATTAGGCCTGCAAATGCGAAGGTGGCTAGCATTAGGGACTGGCCACGACCCCAGTCTGTAACTAAGGTCAGATCTTTCTTGGGCATGTGCGGTTATTACCGCATTTTTCTACAAAACTACAGTACGGTCGCATCTCCGTTGACTGATCTAACACGCCTTGTCACTCCATGGGAATGGATAGACGCATGTGAGACTGCTTTCAAGAGATTAAAGCATGCCCTCACACATCATGAGGTTCTTATGGTCCCCGATCCTCAAAGGCCATTCATAGTGACCACTGACGCAAACCAGTACGGCTTAGGCACAATCTTGGCTCAGCAGGACAGGAAAAAGTTGAGGCCGATCGAGTACATGAGCAAGAAAATGCCATCTAAGAAACCAGTGAAGTCCACCTATGAAAGGGAAAGTCCACCTATGAAAGGGAACTCAACGCCCTCTACAAGGCACTTGTCCACTGGAGGCACTATCTGTTGGGACGGTTCTTCTATTTGAGGACTGACCATCAGACACTCAAGTGGATCAAGACACAACCTGTTCTCTCTGACGCACTCAAACACTGTGGATTCAATTTGAGGTCATAGACCAGTATGACTTCAAGCTAGACTACATAAAAGGAGAGTATAACAAGGTTGCTGATGCATTGTCACGCACGACAGATTACCTGGGTGCACTGATTACTGAGTTTGGCTTATCTGACGATGTCACTCGATCCTTGGTGGAGGCCTACAAGGAAAATCCTGTCACGATGAACATCATTTGCAAACTCGAGGCCCAAGACAAGGCCACATCTGATGAGTTTGTGATGGTGGATGGGTTGCTCTTTCTTGAGAAGGAAGGATTTAAAAGGTTAGTGGTTCCATCTAGGGAGATTTTGAGTAGTTTATTTCTAGGCGAGTGCCATGACGCGACAGGTCATTTCGGCTACAAGAAGACTTCTGCTAACTTAGTACAACGCTTTTGGTGGCCTAACATTCTTGACGATGCAAAGACATATGTGCAGACTTGCCAAGTCTGTCAGTGGGACAAGCCGCGGACTCAAGCCCCGCTTGGGTTATTGAGGCCCTTACCCATTCCTGTTGGTCCGGGACAAAGTGTTTCCATGGATTTCATGGATAGCCTTGTGACCAGCAAGAATGGCAAAAGGCATATCTTCGTCATAGTGTATAGGTTCACTAAGTACGCTAGACTAATCGCCATGCCAGAGACTGCCAGGACTGAGCACGTTATCAAGTTGTTCAAGGACAACTGGGTGTGCGACTTTGGACTGCAAAAGACCATCGTTAGTGATAGAGATGTCCGGTTTACCAGCGAGATGTGGAAGAAGGCCGCTGAACAGATGGGCAGCCAGCACCAAATGACTTTTGGGAATCATCCTTAAAGGAAATGGGCAGGCTGAACAGATGAACCTTGTGGTGCAGCATTTGTTGAGGCACTACATCAAGCCCAGCCAAGATGACTGAGATGAGAAGCTACCTCTCATTGCCAGCCTGTACAACAATGTTGTACACAACACCACCAGCGTCAATCCTAATCAGCTGCATCTGGGATGCAAGCCTAGATCTGCTCTAGACTTCCTCCTGCCTGAAAACCGAATGGCTGCAACTCCTGGAACCATTGAATTTGGTGTCCAGTACGAGAAATTGTTGCAGGAGACTGTCAAACACATCAAGAAATCTCAGGAAGCCATGATTGCTTCTGAGAACAAGCATCATCAAGAAATCTCAGGAAGCCATGATTGCTTCTGAGAACAAGCATCGCCGGCAGTCCACATTTCAGGTAGGGGAACGCGTCTAGGTTAAGGCTAGTGAGTTGGGACAGGAATTCGGCATCTCTAGAAAACTAATGCCTCAGTATTTCGGTCCCTGTGAAGTCTTAGACATTGTGGGTAATAGTTTAGATGGTCCCTCGTACATGATTCGTACCCCTGGTCACCTATGCACTTACCCTGTGTTTCACGCCTCAAAGCTCGCACCTTTCGCTGAGACAGAACAATTCCCATCACGGAGATCTATGCTGCCCCAAACAATGGATGGCCACGTGGACGTCGATGATATTCTGGAACACAGAGACATGCCTGTTCCCAAGCCAGCTGGCAGGGCCAGACCGCCTAAACCTGCAAGAAAATACAGGGTATGGTTCAGGCATCATATGGATCCTAAGGAAGATCAATGGTTTACACGGGAGGAACTGGTCAAGACAGCTCCTCAGATCGTGGTCGAGTATGAGAAGAAACTGAAGGGGAAGGCACCAACATGAAGCATCTCAGCGGATTTTCGAAGCTAAGGGGGATGGAATGCGAGGAACGAGCCCTCACAAGGCCCTTATCAGACATACACATGTTCTAGGCAGAAGCCCCCAGCCAGCCGAGTGCCCGCCCTAAGTGAAAGCGGGCCTGAATATTCATCAGAGGCCAAAATTCGACATTTTTCATATGTGGTTACTCACGCTGTTGCAGCCCGCCCGTTGGTTGAGTGGACGCGTGAGCCTCACTAAGCTGTGTCATACAGTTGGCCCAGGCCTTGGCGGGCCCCAACCGGAAGCTACTGGAAGCTTCCAGCCAGGCCACACGCAGCCACGCAGAGGCTGCCACTTCCATATAGGAAGGAGGGCAGCCAGGGCAGGGGATTCTGGCCCACGCAGGCAATGCGGTCACGCTGCGGCGCTGCTGCGTTAGAGGCTGCGTTGTGCGCTGAGGCCAGAGCGCGTGTGGCCGCGTGTGTGGTGGAGGGGCGCTGCTGGGCAGCGGAGCGCAAGCAGCCATGGCCGGGCTGCAGGGCGCTAGGAGCTAAGAGGGCGGTCGGTGGTCTTCAGGAAGGAGGCGAGTCTGGGTGGACAGGGTCTGATGAGGGGAAGCGAGATACATACCTGGTACATGGAAGAGGTCGGTTATGGTGTTGACGTCATGTACATTGGTCTTCGAGAGTCGAAGTGAGCCTGTTGCTAGAATGCTGATGTAGGTAGGATAGTCAGGTAGTGTAGGCAGGGCACTGGGTGCCAGACAGAGAGGAGCGACTTTGGATACTGTGTTAGTGTGGCCCGAGGGCTTGACCATTGGCTCATTACTTCATTGTATTGCTCTTATTTGGATGGGATCTCAGTGCATTTGTGCTCTGTGCTTGTACACGGCTGCCTGGACATCTGTGTGATTTCGCAACTTGGTTTTCTGTATATCATTCCCACTCATATTCCTTGCACTTTTTTCTTTTTAGGGGCCATGCTAATCTTCTCTGTATGGTTCCACAGAGAATCTGATCCCCATGCCGTGTCTCTATTGGTATATAGGGGTAAGGCCTTATGCGCCGCGGGTGTGGGGAGGTGGGGCCTTACCCCTATTGCTATTGGGCACAGGGCATGGGGATCTGTGCCGCGGGCGTAGGCGCGGTGGGTCGACTGGTTAACACAATATATCAGCCACTGTGTTTTAGGCTAGGCTACCAGAGTGGCCCGGGGAAAATAATAAATTATTTTTAAAATTTGTTTTGTATTTTAAATTTGGTAAAGAATTTCGATGTGACCCTGAGGCAAAAGTTGTTCAGTTTATTTTTCTGCATAACATAGTTTTTTTTCGGAGTTTCTCGATTTTTTTTTTTTTTTTTTTTTTTTTTGCTGGGACCTTCCCTTGTCCTTGCACGGGCTGGCCAGCCGGGACCCGGGCGGCCCGGCTGGTAGCCTAGGTTTTAGGGGGAAAAAAAAACAAAAAAAAAAACAATCATAATTGTTGTCTCGTGTCTACTTTGTCTTGAAGTTTGGCTGCTTTGTCCTGTGCTTGTGTGGTTTTCGTCTTTCGGATTACATGATCACTCCGCTGTCCACGATAATACTAGGCTCCCTCAGTGGGGAACCCGATGGGACGTGAATGAAGATAATGGAAATGAATGTGGACGCGAATGAAGATGAATGGGCATAATGTGGACATGAATGTGGACCTGAATGGAAACGGACTGCGGACATGAATATGGGCATGGTTGTGAACACAAAAGCGTGTGCATGTGTAAAGAATGGGTTGAGCGTGCAAACAATGAATATGTCCGTTTGAATGCAGTTGGAGCTTCAGCCGAGGGTGGTTTTTCTCATCATGAGGGCGTCCTTTCGCTTCTTGCACCTTGTCGTATGCCATTGGTCGTCACAGATTGGCACGACGATGTCAGTTTAATCGATGCGAGCGGGCTGATCGAGGACTCATCGATGAGGGATGTACATAGGAGTCAAGTTGCCGCGCTCAGAATACTGGAGGAGCTAGTAAATTCTGCTAGTACTCCCTCTGTGATCCCAATGCCTCCAATTATGGTGACCCGGGCCCGCTCACGAGGGTCGTCCCGTTTACGGCCTGGCGGGAATCCGGTGGCAAATGAGCAGGTCGACAGTGAGGACGATGTCGAGGCCGCAGCAGCCGACAGGGATGACGAAAGCAACGATGAAGGTGTGCCTGCTGATGTGGCAACTGCTGGGCTATCAGGTGATCATGAGGCCGGCAGCAGAGCTGCGATCTTGCAACGGAACAGTGTTCGGACGTCATCAGAAGACGGTAACTGTGCAGGCGAAACGCAGAATGCAGAAAATCAGCAGCAAAAAGCCAAGCACCCAGAAGCACCTGCGCCCCCCCGGGCAGATGACGAACGCACAACATGTGAAAGGAATGAGGAGAGCGTCAATGCGGAGAGAAAACTGTCAGAGGAGGAGCATCAGCAGCAGGACACTGACACTGACACTCCCATCGCTCCTCTTACCTACACGGGTGTGAGCGATGTCGCAGAAAAAAAAAGACCAAGCTAGGAGGAAGTTCCAAGACAAGTGCAGATGGCAGCACTTGAAAACAGTTTTATCTTTTTGCTGCTGTTAATAACTTTTGCCAGCCTCTGAGGTGTGTTCAGGAAAAGACCAGGGTGGTGCGCGCTGAACTCGAACTCATGGAACTCATGGAACTCATGAAAAGATGGAGCTCATGGAACTCGTGAAACTTGGAGCCCATGGAACTCATGAAAACTTGGAACTGATGGGACTCATGGAACTCATGAAAACTTGGAACTCATGGAACTCATGAAAACTTGGAACTGATGGAACTGATGGAACTCATGGAACTGATGGGACTCGTCAAAGGCGGTACGCTTGGAACTCGTCAGAACTTGTTTTAAATTGTGAGTTTGAAGTTCGAAGAAGTGTGACATAATATGCGGCAAGGCAAGTGGCTGGCAACGCATCGGGCCTCGCTCCACTACTCAACATTCTACATGGAGTCGGATGCTTTCTGGACCAGGGGCATTCCAACGACTCCCAGACCGACGTTTTGAACGTACTGGGATGATCATGAGGTCAGAGACATATAGAGTGTCCTGTAGTGGAGCGAGACCCATTGTCTGTTGATCCTACACCACTTACTGTGCACTGGAAACTCATAAAAAGTCAGTCTGGCACAATGCCATATGCCACCACCGATTGGTGGACAGCATGGAGCCATCATGATGATGGAGGTAGAGAAATGAGCCATTCCTGGTGTGGTATTATGATAATTAAGGACATGCACGGGCAGACTTCAAACGCACTAAGAAGATGGTGTGGTTTCCCTTGGGACCACACCTTGTCCCTTGGGACATGGTGTGGGACATGGTGTGGTGCCCTCTGGGACATCCTTTAAAACTGGAAGGATGCATAGAAGATTGATTAGCATGGCCCCTGCCCTTTCAAGGATGACATGCATGAATGGAGAAATGGTCCATAAGATAGAGAAGACAAAAACATAAGATGGTATGGTCCCATGCCCGCTCTCTTTTTTTTTCGAAAGGGATAGGAAGCTCTCGCTTGAGAACGGGAGCAGGTAACGACCCGTTCCTTCCAATTTGAAAGTGGGACCGTGGTATGGTCCCATCTCGCTTGTGCGCAACCGTTATAATTCCCTAGCGGCAAGGAATGTGGATTCTCTGTGGACCAGGTGCATTCGGACGAGTCCACATTATTCTCGAGAGGGCTCTCAGCTACACTATTCTTATTCTTTGCCTAGTATTTAGTCAACGCGGCAAGTTAGTATGTGGGGTCTCTCCTGTGTTGCATACCGTATAGGTGCAGACCAGAACAAGAACCGACCTTTCAATACAAAGTATAAGATAGCACAGCGGAAGACTTAGATACTAGTGATCCGAACAATCGATGTGGTAATGCAGCCCTGAACATACATCATCATCATCGTTTCATAGTGTGAATGGGTCTGGCGCTTCACACAGGAAGACAGCGCCAGCCCAGAACATGCACAGACGAGGAGGAACGGGATAGACGAAGAGGAGGGGGAAGATGGGAATGTCGTCAATACCAAGTCTTCAACACAAGCCCAAATAGTCCCTCGTCGAACTGTCTGAATCCCAAATGTCAAGTCTGGATCCAATGTCGTAAAGTCTCAAGTCACAACTCTGTCTCTCTCTGTCGTAGTCTGAGAAGTCAGGTGGCGAGAGGGTGAGAAGAGAAGGTGGACTTAGAAGAGGAAGAAGAAGAACTCTCTCTCTCTGTGTGTCCAGTACTAACCTGTGAAGTTGGCGCCTTGATGCAGGTACCACGAAGAT